AAGCTGATGATGGTTTTTTATCTTATACTGAGGGCAACACTCTTTGCAAGGGTGGTGGGCTTGGCCCCGAGGCATAGTCTTTTGTGAAGGACACAGCCCCAAGCATACTGCCTGTGTGTCAGGCTGAGCCCTCGGAGTGCTGTTCCCAGAGGCCATCTCCCCCTGCCTGCACTTGCTTACAAAGAGGCACCAGCTCTTTCTCTCTGCCTACCCTCCTTTCTTTTTCCTCTCCTTTTCTTCCTTTTCTACCCGCAGGGTCATAAGAGAAACTTTATTTTGCTGGGTCGAACGCTGGGCAAGCCCAGCCAATCCAGCTGTACGTGGGTCCCCCAGCCCGGGTGTCCTCCTGCACACAGTGTGGGCTCCGGGCTCTTGTCCTCTGTCAGCAGGATCTCCTGCTCCTGTAGACTTTGGGTTGTTTCATTCTAGGAACAAATCAAGTCTCTTTTCATGAAATACAGTGCCCGGCTCCAGTGCCACAGGATGGTAACGCACGGAGACCAAAAATGGAAGCACCATTAACAGGTCCTCCCCCTGCTGGGTGGACTTTATTAAGAAACAACACAGCCCAGAGAGTCCACAAACATTCTGCAGCGGGAGCTGACATCTGGCCCTGAGCCAGGCACCTGTGTCCCACCCAGCCAAGTCACAGAGTCCCAGGGACGAAGCCCGGGAGGCCAGCAAGAGCCCTAGTGGCCGCCCCGTCACTGCGGAGCGGTGGAGGTCTTGCTGAGGTTTAGTTTTCTAAACAAACCAGAGAGAAAGAAGACTGGAGTGAATACAAAATTCTGAATCCTGCTGACTCTTAGAAAAGGGAGTGCTTTTCTCTTGTGAGAGGTACAGATAAAAGATCTTGCCTTAATCAAGTCTTCCTGGGAAACGAGACAGAAGCAGCACCATCAGCGCCCCACTGTAACCTGACAATAGAGAACCACCATCAAGGCTACTGAGGAAAAGAATTCAGAAGAAAACTTGCCCATATTTTAAACGGGCGAATTTTATGATATGTAAATGACACCCCAATAAGGCAGTTTTTTTTTTTAAGGCACTAAAGTATCTCCTGTCTCAGTCCAATCAGGCTTCTACAACAAATGCCACAGGCTGGGTGGCTTACAAACAACAGAAATTTATTTCTTGTGGTTCTGGAGCTTGATGGTCAGGAGTCCGAGATGGGGGTGCCAGCCCTTTCAGGTTCTGGTCCGCCTCGTCCAGGCTGCTGTGTCCTCATGCAATGGAAGGCGGGGCAGAGCTTCCCCCGGTGCCCCCAGAGTGGAGGCAGAGTGGAAGGAGAGAAGTGGAGCTGGACTGGGGGCGCCACAGGGGAGAGCCCCTGAACCCTGGGAAGGACCAGAGGTTCTCCTCCCAAAATGGCCCATTTGCAGACTTACAATCACGACCCCGAGGGTCAAAAAAGCGTTTTTTATTCAGCACATCCTGATTGTTACTATTCAGTACATCCTGATTGGGAGAGAAGAAAAGTATGATCTACTTGAGACATGTCTATCTCGCGTTGTTAAAAGCGGAAATGAAGCACCTGAGCTAGAAGTTTCTGGTATGTGGGAGCGCTGGGCCACACCGGGGAGGACCCGCTTTGCTGGGCGTGCGCGGCGCCGGCCCAGGGCGGGCAAGAGGCGGGAGGCCGC